TGGTAGAGTCCACAGGGATAAATTTCTATTTGCAAACTGGTTAGTTTTTGATCTGTTTATCCTTACCCAAAAAAAAAATCATTATAAAAGTTTTAAAAAATTAAATATCAAAAAATAAATACTAAATTAGAGTAAATTTTTTTTTAAACATTAACTGAAAATTTTTTAAAAGTCAACTATTCAAATTTGATAATTTTTTATTTTAATTCTATAAGTTTATAAAATGACCTGAAGCATGACGATAGTCATGCTAAGGTTATTATTGCGAGGATCATTTAGGCTAATCAAAAATGGATGTGGAATCGAAATTGCTATTTAAGAGTAAATTGAGAATATTCTGATCGGCAGTGCCTTTTTCTTCGCTGTCTGACTTAGTTCTGACTCTTTCATATTGTGCTATCTTCAAAACAAGTATTAATAAAAAAAAACATAAATACATATCTAAATAAAATAAACAAGAATAAACAACAAGCCAAATACAAATATATAAAACCTTGTACCAATTAGTAAAAAAAAAAGAAAAAAAAGTGGAAATAAAAATAAAAATATAACAATAATAATAAGCAGCATATATATACATATATATATAAACTACGTGATATTATGACAGACTCAAATTTATCAAAAAGTGATTTAGAAGAAATACTAAATTAGAGTAAATTTTTTTTTAAACTTTAACTAAAAATTTTTTAACAGTCAACTATTCAAATTTGATAATTTTTTAATTTAATTCTGTAAGTTTATAAAATAACCTGAAGTGTAATGATAGTCATGTTAAGGTTATTATTGTAAGGATCATCCAGGCTGACCAAAAATGGATGTGAAATCAAAATTGCTATTTAAGGGTAAATTGAGAATGTTCTGATCAGCAGTGCTCTTTTCCTTTGCTGCCCAACTTAGTGCTGGCTCTTTTGTATTGTGCTGCCTTCAAAACGAGTATTAACAGAAAAAAATATAAATATATACCTAAATAAAATAAACAAGAATAAACAACAAGCCAAATACAAATATATAAAACCTCATACCAAACAGCAAAAAAAAAAAGAAAAAAAACAATGTTTAGTAAAAAAAAAAAAAAAAAAAGTAGAAATAAAAATAAAAAATAAGCAGCATATATATATGTATATATATAAACCATGTGATATTATAACAGACTCAAATTTATCGAAAAGTAATTTAGAAGATATTTGCAGAAGCCTTGAACTACTGACTGAAGATGTAAAAGTGGACCTTGTTCAAAGGTTAAAACTACACTCCACAGACAGAATCTTAAAAATAGGAACTGCAGAACTAGTAGACGATGAATATGACAGAGTTTATAATAAGAACAAGAACATAGATAGAGTAGATATGGGCAATAAACATATAAATGATTTGGATATTTGTAAGGAAAATTTCAGAACCCAAGCCTAAAGATAACAAGCTTTAAAATCTAGGCAAATCATTCAGCCGAGTTATTATACAATCATCAAGAAAATAATAAATTTACCCAAATGCTAGAAACCAACTACCAAACAAATCTTTACTCAAAAAAGACAAATAAATGACGCTTAAAGGAAGATATTAGAAATGATTATTCTGATTTCTTTGAGTATTTGATAATATCCAAGTTTAGAAAATTGAGGAGTGCAATAGCAGATTTGATCAGAAATTAAATTTGGTGGCTACTTAAGTTCAAAAAGTAGGAAAAATGAAATATGGCTGGGTTATAAATTTGAAAAAACACGCGATCAACATAAATATGATACATTGTGTACAATTGAGACAAATTGGATTTAGCCTTGGAATTCCATTCTACAACTAAAATTACAAGTCATATTTTAGAAGCTTGTGAGACAGTAGCAGAAAGGTTGTTTACTCTATGAGTAGCTGAAGGGTTTGGGTGGAATGTGGCTGCCACCCTACTAAGCACACAAGATAAATTATTAAAAGAGAAAGAAACTTTAATTGAGAAAGCAAAGACATTAGTAGATGCAAAGAAAAATAAATGAAAAAAGACAGGAAGTTTGCCTAAAATATTGAATATACTTTATAAAAGAAACAACTACCAAAATCGGTATATGAACATTTTATCAACAGATACCAGAGTAGCCAGCAAAAACCCCTTATACTTATAATCAATTTTTTTAATCAAGCTACAGTGCAGAACATCTAAAGGTAGAATTTATGAAATTTGACTCATTTTTAAAAATTTCATATTGAAATTTGATTTCTTTGTAAATTTTTGCATTTTGATTGGCTAATAATTAATTTTTAAAAAATAATTTAAAATTAATTAATTTTAAAATTAGCCAATAGTAAAAGGCAAAAACATGTGACTTGTCCCATTTTTGGCTAAATTTTTACATATTATATAAAAATACTATACTTTTAAACCTATTAATTGAAAAAATATATATTTAATTTTGAAAAGTTAAGGCTACTAAGTTGTAGCAAATTAGCTAAACTACAAAATAGGGGTCTATTTTTTGTAATATTGTTTTTATATTAAATATTATTAGCTTTTAAAGTTTGTGAAGCCTTTAGATGTCTCACACTATACTAGTCTCGAGGCTGGCCTACAAACACAACATCTGTGAGGGCTCGAGACACTTTGCAAATTCATGCCTCTCAAATCTATATAAAAACCCAAACCTACAACAAGAAAGAGCCACAAATTATCAATCAAGGGGTTACACATCCTACAGAAACTGATATCCTGGACCCAATAAAGATAGTAAGTGCAATTGACTATACTTGGGCGCAACAATCAATACCCATAGTAGGGCACCTACACTGGCGAGAACACATAAATCACCAATAACAAAAAATTCAAGCACTGAAATTAGTCATAGATTGGTTAAAAAATAGCATCCTATTATATCCAAGGGGTTTATTGACCCTAGTATCACAACTGGACCTACCTCAATACACATTAACAGAGGACCAGACAAAGTGGTTAAGCATGAAAATAAGAAAATTGTTAAAAATAAATGTGATAACTTGGGTTTCAAACTCATCAAGCTATCTACTACATCTACTCAAAATAAGCCTGATATTTTTGACTCTAAGGCCAGGTCCAAAAAACTGGCACCTTATTATTGATTTCAGACACCTAAACAAAACAATCCCAGAAAAATCATTTAGATTCAAAGGCTTTGGCACTCTTCTACAAATAACAGGGAAAAACTGGTGATAATAGTTTTGAACTTAAAAGAAGGCTATTACCATGTACTAATGGATCAAAAAGTACAAAGATTATTGGGGTTCAAAGTGGATCAGAATTGGAATTATTACTAGATCTTACTATTTGGCCTAAGTCTGGCAGTATAGATATTTGCAAAAATAATAAGACCACTTATAGGACACTAGAGAGCATCTGGTATTTTTTGCAGAAACCACCTCAATGACATATGAATTGCATATCCATCTCAGGAAACTCTGGTTTAGATTAGAAATTCAAAAATATTTCTAGATCTAAAAAATTGTGGATTCATTCTGGCTGAGAAAGGACAACTAGAAACAACTCAACAACTAAAGTTTTATGGCCTAACTCTGAACACAGTGACAGGACAAGTGGTGGCACCAGATTTCAAAATAAAAATAGTCTTAAGAAACCTCTGGAACCTCTAGTTAATAAAACCCCTAACAGCATGTCAGCTATCATCTGTGGCAGGACAAATAATAAGCTTGGATCAAGCTTTTGTATATGCAAAAACTCGTTGCATAAAATTCTACACAATAAATGATGTGGAAAACCAAAAACTTTGGAAGTGGGACAAACCTGTGAACCTGACACAACAAGCTTTGTTAGATATAAAGTAGATGCAAGAGAATATAAAAATAAAAAATAGCTACTCTGTGTGGAGACCCTCTCAGATAATTCAAATTTATATAGATGCTTCAACAATAGCAACCTTAGAGAAACTACGAGCATTTGGAAATTGGACTTACTACCACAAACACACAGACATTGCTTACTTCAAATCAACAACAGCCTTACTAGGCCTCGAATCTTTTGCCTATATGGGACTGTTGTAGTAGAAAGGGCCAAAACTCAAAATATATAATTTTGAGAAAATTATATTTACTTTTTCAGGCTGATCCACGTTAATAAAAAATTATACAACTTGATTGGCTGGCTATATCAGATAATCTCATAATGTACAAAGAATCTAAAAAGTTTTTTAAAATATTTTAGTTTTTTATTATGCAAACCAATTTTCATTTTTAATTGAAAAGTATAGCCCACCTCAAGATTAATCAGAATCTTGAAAAAACTCAAGTTTGATTTTTAGGGAGTTTGGGCCTTTTTTACTACAACAGTTCCATATCATCACACATCATTGAGTTACCATATTTTTAGACAATCGGGTTGCTCAAAAGACAATAGAGTTAGGAGGAAAATGACTATGGCAAAAAGAGATAATGCATCAAGTATGGGTCTTCTGCGATGAACATGATATAAAGATTCATAAGTTTCATTGGGTGCTTTCGGAGTTGAATTCAGCAAACAACCTAACCCATTTTTTCAATAAATCTAACTAGGAGGTAAATCAAAACATATATACCTGGATAAACTTGAAGTAGGGTCATTTTCAATAGACTAAATAGCAAGCTATTGAATGAAAAAAGTAGAGCATTTCAATAGCTAGTTTTTTTGCCAAAAAGCAGATGTGGTGGATTGTTTTTTCTAGAATTGGAGCTACAGAACCAACTACGTGTGTTTTCTGCTAAGCTTAATTCAAAGAGTATTTGAACATGAAACTTAGTACCAAGCCCAAGTCATTATAATCATACTGGTGTAGCCATTAGCCACATGGTAGCCAACTCTTCTGCAAAAGCAAATTAAAAGAATAGATCTTCTACCAGCAGTGCAAAGCTTTTTACCAAATCCAGGAAGAAACATGCTACCAGAATAGTGAAAAAATCTAAACTGGAAATTTCAGACAGTAAAAGTCTGTTTTTAGAAAATTTACTTAAAAAAGCCTATGAGATAATAGCACCCAGTTTGGTATATAAAAAGTGTTTAGAACGCTTATAGAAAGGATTTTTAAACTTTGCATAAACCATAAGCTAAGTCCATGTTTAATTTACCCTGAGATATTATTAATATTCCTAACTTGGCATAACCAGGACCCCAGATAATTCTAGATAGGTGATAGGGCAAAAGAGAATAGATTTTGGGCCAAATTTGCCTTAATTCTGATCAAAATTAAAATTAAAAATTGATTTTGACCAGAATTTTGACATGTTTAGCCCAAAAAATCTACTCTCTTTTGCCATACCACCTATCTTAGAATTATTTGGAATTCTGCATGACCTATGTCCCAAACTTTTCAACTTCTGTTTGTATATAGTAGAAATTAGCCATTATCATCGTAGAATGGGGTTTATAGATCCCATCTTGGACTTTAATATGCAATGCCTTGTTCATAACCAAATGAAGTAAACAGCAATAGACAAAGAAGCAGTGTGGCCTCGAGATCCATTTCTAGTAGAAGCCCTACATAATTATATAAATAATCCACTCCTGAAGGCTGCTAAACTAATCTGGAAGCAAGACTGCACCATGATCACACTTGGCCTTCATACTATAAGAAGACCATCAGAACTTTGCAATCTCTGTGTAGCTGATATAAAAATAGAAGAAGATTTTTTTTTGGGTAAGGATAAACAGATCAAAAACTAACCAGTTTGCAAATAGAAATTTATCCCTGTGGACTCTACCAATTTTCCATACTGCCCTGTAAGACTAGTTTATAAATACCTAGAAGTGAGAGGGAAAGTTAAAGACCAGGATGTATTATTTGTAAATACATCTGGTAAACATATGGGGGTGAGTCAATAGAAATCAAGCAAATTTTTTATAATAAAATTTTTTTATAACTTTAAACAAGAAT